AAGGACTCGCGGGCAATGATGCACATGACCATGCTGAGGAAGATGAAGGAGATTCCGGCATGGGCGTAGTAGCGGTTGACATTCTTGCCTTCGGGGTTGACGTTACTCATGGAGAGGAGATCGAGCTGCTCCTGGCCTGCCCCTCCAGTCGCATTGACGGGGAAGAGAACGGGCCATGTGACAAGACATCCCAGGAAGCAGGTGACGATGAGGACCTTGAAGAAGCGCACGAACAGGTAGCCGTCAATGGACTGGTGGTCGAGAATGTACTCGTCCTTGAGGTTCTTGAAGTCTTTTATCCATCCTAAGAAGCCTCCGCTTGGTGCAGGCGTCTGTCGTTGCTGCCCCAGGTGGTTGAGATAGGTTCTCGGCGCATAGACTCGGCGGAAGTATTTGCGCGCGATAAGGAAGGCGACGACAAAGGCGAGCGCAAGAATGGCAGTCGGCACCAGGGTGGAGACCAAACTGGAAAGGGAGTTGGAGGATTCTTGCTGGGCTTTGCCAACTTCACCACCCTTTGTTATGGTTAGCGCACGTTCATGGCGGTGCTGTCGCGATAGCGGAGGGACTCACGGTGGACGACATGCTGGGCAACGAGGCAGTCGCGTGCCCGTGGGGTAGGAGTGAAGGAGTCGCGAAGGGAAGATGCTTCTTAGGAAATGAGGAGGCTCTAGGACTGCATACAAATAAACAGGACTGCGGGCGCGATACAAGGAGTCCACCAGCCTCTAGTGTGACGTCGTGGTCCAAGCACACTCCACAAATCGGTCCTATCGCGCGACTCGAGCCAGCCCGCTAACGCCTTCAGCTTAGCGGAGCGCATCCAGCTTCTGGACCCTGACACTTCACTGCGGGCTGCATCACCAGCCTCAATTGCGGAAGCCTTTTCGCTGCGTGGCGGTGATGCAGCTCGGCGTGGCCGTGAGGTGAAGTGAGACTTTTCACCCACCCATGTCCGGCTCGAAACGCGTCTTCATGTGAAGGATGCGCGACAAGGGCCCAAGGAAATTACCGAGCTGGCGGAAAAGCAACCTTATGATTCGCGACATGCGGCGCGAATCCAGTTGAGAGAGCATTGCCAAGCTCCCAGCCTCGCTAGCGATCGTCCTGGATGCGGTACGACAATTACGTCAATCGAGCGTTGTCCGCTGCCAGGCTACCCCTTCTCCTGTCAGGTGTCACTAGACGCCGCCTTGGTTGAAAGCGACCGACGACACAGTGATACAGCGAACAAACACGGCACAGAACGGACTATGCGTTGTTGCGGTTAAGCAGCCGAAACTATGACGATGCCATCTCACCGTACTCTGTGCGCATCCTATCACCATGGCCTACACACAGACACGACACAGACACAGAAAGCCTATTCTCCCCACCGCATCTTGATCCCGCAGTGATAGTCACAATTGATTGACACGCGCAGCCGCTCCTCGCACACAGCGGGAAGGATTGACAACTCCACACCCCCTGTGGGAACCGACGATCTAGATTGAAGCCACATCCCGTCTCACCACGTCTACGATCTCATCTGCGGCTGCAGCCAATCCCCTAGCCCCTCCTGTGATCTCCACCAACACCAGGTGACGCGCAATATCGACTGGACAGAATTTGAGTTTTCGTCTTTTCAGCTCGCTGCCCCTGTTTACACATGCGGGTATACGTGGCGCAGCTTCCAGACCCTGCGTTTTTCGCTGCACCGCCACACGTTCATGCCAGTCTTTTCCGCGGGGTGTGCGCAATCGTTCTTACGCGCTTGGGCTAGGTGCGCTGCGATTCACGGCCTTTCCAGAGGGATGATGCAATCGCAGAGGATGTCTTCTAATCAAACCGCCGACTAGTTGGTATGCGCCATTGAGCTGTTTGCACTGCCGTCCCGTCGATGGAGAGGTGGCATAGTCAGTGTGTGCATCAGACGCACACATGCCTGTCTTCCTCACATGAGCCGATGATGAACCTTCTTTGTTCTTTCAGAGTTTGCTTCAATAGGACCGAACCAGCCGTTGATCCCTTCTTACGCCAGAGATAGGCGATACGCGATATTAACCACCGAGCCCCCTGCCACTTCGGCACTGCCGTTGCGAGATGGATCAAGAGTAGCATCTTCTCGTACCACCCACTTCAACATTCGGTATACAACCCTGGGATCTTCGGACAACAGAAGGCAGCAGACGACTACCGATCATTTGATAACGTTGGGTACTAGATGAGGCTAGCGCACATGTAGCATTGTGGCACAGCTGCGGGGACGACAACATGTGAGCTGGACTGTGATGAAGTCACTGCGCACTACACTCGCACATCGCGATCTCGATTATGTCGCTTTGTAACGTTTGCAGCTCAATTCCCTTTCGCAAACTTATCACATCGGATTCAGCAGCGGGTGTGAAAGATGACTTCAAGTTCAATACGGCCGGACGAACGCCATCTGTTGCCTGGGACGACCTTGCTTGGGATGAGCGACGATGCACTATCGCAGAGATTGTATCTCGCGCTAAGGCATGCTCATTGTGTTCTCACATCTGGCTCATAATCAGGCAACATACGTGGCAACTGCCCATTTCCCAGATGGGAATATGGTTTGCTTGGGAGGATGTCAAGACTTACATTCCGCGGAATGTCATGGTCTGGATGAAGCTTCCTCAATCTTGGTTAACTGATAAACGCATCAGTATCTGGCTAGGTGACCCACGTGGTCGCAGAACTCTCACATTGGAACTTCAGCTCCGACTAGACTATGGTAAACTCGATGCACGCCAAAATGCACGATGCCAAACTGATCAAAAGTATTAGACAGCCCGCCATCCAGATACCCTCGGGCCCCTCAGGTTTTTTTTCGAGAGACACTCCACCCGAAAACATTAAAGCATATGCTTTCCTGGCTAGACACATGCAACGCCAGTCATACTGAGTGCTCTCATCTATCAACGCGGCTGGTACCACTGCCGACGAGATTCTTGGACGTGAGTATGCTACCTGGCCGAGAAGATTTGTTCGGCAAGCATGAAGCATGGCGAGATCAATTCCAGGGTAAGAATTGCAAGCTTCTTCAGACTCACAAGGGTCAAACCGGTCGTTATGCTGCGTTGAGCTACTGCTGGGGTACTAGTCTACCCTTAACTACGACTACGATCAGTCTGCGGAAGCACGAGTCCGGCATTAGCTTTGACATATTACCACGAACCTTACAAGACGCTGTCATGATAGTTCGATATCTGGGCATCGAACACATCTGGATTGATTGTCTATGTATTTTGCAAGACTCCAAGTCAGACTGGGAGCACGAATCAGCACACATGGCAGATGTATACTCTAACGCGCATCTCACTGTGGTAGCTGCGCGCGCAGAGCACTGTAATGAGGGATTTCTCGGCCCTCGCGAAATGACTCCCCCGTTCTGCATCAACGTCAAAGATGAAGAGGGCTCCTTCGAGCTATACTTCCAAAAGTGTGAACTGAATGAGAAGGTCAGTTGGAATCCATGGCCGCTCTTCATCACTGTGTTTCAGATCTGACTCTGTCGAACAGCGCCAGCCTTTGTATCGTCGTGCATGGGCTGCCCAGGAAAGCCTACTCTCCCATCGGGTTCTCGCCTTTGAATCGCACAGTATGAACTGGAGATGCGCTCATATTGGTCAAAGTGAAAATCCTCTCCTACCGAGTTCCCCGCAACCACGTGGAAAGCAACTCGAGTTGATGGCGGAACAATTGAAAGACACCAGAATGGGGTTAGGGTTACACAGTTCTTGGGCCATGTTTACAAAAGATTTCACCAGGCGCGAAGTTACCTATGAGACAGACATCTTTCCGGCGATGGCCGGTATCGTCAAAAGGATTCAGCAACACACTGGAGACACGTTCTACGTCGGACTGTGGAAGTCGCACTTTCTTGCTGGCCTTGCATGGCACTCAGGAGGGTTTCATCTGTACGATTATGGGAAAAGGCCCAAGACTCTGGAAAAACGACAGCAATGGACTGCTCCATCGTGGTCCTGGGCCTCTGTAATCGGGATAATAGATTACAATATCTCGTGGCTGGATTGCGACTACTGCGCCCGTCTCGAAGAGTGTATGATTACACGCAGCGGCTCAGACCCATTTAGCGCACCTACAGCTGCGTTCGCCCGCATCACAGGCCCAATAACGCTCATGACAAATGTCCAAGATGATGATAAAGTTATACAAGGGTTTCCCATGTGTAAGATCCAGCTCGGTAACGGCACATTGGTTATGGCGTCTGCCATGTTTGACTTTGTCAGATACGAGTCTTGCAGTGTGTTGATGATCACGCCACATTGGGGCTTATGTATCGAAGAAGTCGGACAAACGACGGACACTTATGTCCGAATTGGCATTGTTAAAGTTGAGAGAAGATGGATACGGCGTGAGGGTTCCACCGACAGAATCGAGGAGCCTCCTCTAGCTGCTGCGGATCACTGCCCGCCACGAACTATTACATTACTCTAGCTGTCGTCTATCCCGACCCATATTGAAACCTCGCCGCGGGCTACTATCCATCTAGATCAACACCAACTGAAGACGTTTGCACCATGCTCAGTGATCGACAACTCTTGGTCTTACTCATTCGGCCCAACAACCCAAGTCAACACGTGAAACACAACAGAAGAAACTTGAGCAGTATATGCCCCGCAATTGATGACTGGAATGGACATATACGGACGATACCCACACTGCAGCGGGTTGCACTGCAAACGCTTCAGGCAGCTCTGATTCGTCGATCGCTCACCTTTACTTTGAGATATCGGTCACGCGACGGTCGCAACTTCCACAACAACCCCTTTCAGGGCTCCTACCTCTTCTGCTACGATCTTTTGCGTCATTACCACGTTTCCTGACACCCCGCCCACTCTCGCATTTCTCTCTTCGTCACCACCTTACCGCCAGATTCCCACCACTTCCCACGACATTCCTTCCCACACGAGGATCACCGCCCATCCACTCGCCTTCCATCAACAACTTCAACCCCCGAATTGTCCGACAACATGCCCCCGCCGAATCCCCCACCCTACGACACGTCCATATTCGGTACAAGCCACCCACCACTCTCAGCCCGCCACGGCGTCCAAGCAGCCCGTCGTCCGCCGCACAACTCCGGCCCCGTAAGTCCACCAACTCTTGATGCAGTCGTATGCGTCTCAGTCCACTAACAACAACCAGATGTTCAACCCCCACACCCGGATCAATGACGCCATCAATTCCCTATGCGCAATCCGCCACTCCATGTCCGAGCTCGAGACCCAGCACCGCAGCGTCCTCGAGACCAAGGACGCCGAGATGGCAACACTCCAGCAGCGCTTCAAAAACAAGGACGCTGAGATGGCAACCCTACAGCAGCGCTTCAACGATCTAAACACACTGCATCGCTCTACCAAAGCTCGAATCGACGAAAAAGTCCTGTTGCAGGGCAAGCTGCAAAACGACATGAAGATATTGAAGCGGGAACTCGCGGCCGAGAAAGCGAAGAAGGGTATTGTCGACCAGGATATGGAAAAGCGGTTGGGTGAGGCGCGACAGGAGAATGGTTTGTTGACAGCGAAGGTGGCGGGATTGGAGAAGGAACTTGCGGATGAGAGGGCGAGGGGGAAAGAGAATAGGGATGCGAAGAGGGAGTTGGAGGTTATGAAGACGAAGTTGGCGGATATGGTTAAGGGGGAGAAGGTTAAGGTTGAGGTTGTTGAGTAGGGGGGGATTACGGGTTTGGCGGGCTTGGGAGATGGTTGTGAGGATATATCGTGTAGGTTTCTGGATGCGATGATGGGTTTGATAGGATGTGGTTTGGGTTCGTTGTATGCACTGTTGGATCATAGTTGGTCCCAAACTCTTTCCAATATATTACGTGTGTTGACCACCACCTTGTTGTAAAAGTGCCTCTCTCCGCTGCCTCATTCTCGTCTCTTCCATCTCCAACCACTCCACCTCCCTCTTTCTCTGTGCTTCCACATGTGGCGAGACTTGTGACGTCGAATTGTTCGCTCCCGTTACTGGTACCATCTCCGCATTCCTGTCATCACCTCCATCGTCCCTTCCGACCGCCCCAGTCTCATTCGCTCGTCGATGTTCCTCCATCCCATTATACGGCAACTCTCCCGGCTGGTCTTCAGCCCTGAGCTCCTGCGCTTCCCCCACCTCATATTTGCATGGGTGCAACCGGTCCAGTTCCTGTGTAAGACCATTGCCTGATATCTCCTGGTATTGCGTTTGGTATGCGCCAGCCGTAGGGGCGGACTGATCTGCACCGAGGACCATCTTGTCGCCGTCGCCTTCTCGTCTGGCTAGCTCGTCTTCGGTGAGTGTCGCCGCGGGTGGTTGTGCCCTCCGCTTCTTGCGTCGCCAGAAGTACCATCCGCCTATGATGAGGGCGAGGATGACAATGCCTGCTATCGCTATTCCGGCGATTGCGCCACTTCCTATGCCAGGTTTGGATCTGCCGTTGCGGGTAGGATTAGGGCGTGAGGTTTTGGTAGAACGAGGCGGCGTAATTGCGGTGGTGGGTCGAACGAATGTTGAGGATTCCGACCTTGTTGACGGGTTCGTTTTACTCACTTGTTGAGTCTGCTGCTGTGTTTGGGTCTGTACTTGGGTGACTGTGGAGCCTTGTTGCGTTTGGACTCCATCGACAGTGAACAAGATAGCCTGCTCGGGGCTCGTTTGGAGAGACAGGATGAGTCCGTCAAATGTTATAGGTGGTGCCCCGGCTATGACTGTAGCGATCAGTTGACCAGGATTAACACTAGAGGTTACTTGAAGAAAGAGCGACGGTGACGGTACTACCGTAATGGTATTGAGCGGTGAGCCATTCCAGGACAGAACTGTCGGATAGTATGATGCGTCCAGGTCGACGATTGTCGCAGTGGCCCATGGTGTTCTAGACGGTTGTTGATTATCTGTCATTATCGACAATTATGCAGTATTACCGGGACTGCGATAAGTGGCCGTCGCTTCTTCAAAGGAACGAGATAAATCTATGGACATGCGAGTGTGGATGTGACAAAGATCGAAAGATGGAGCTAAATAGCAGTGGAGAACTATCTTCTTTGGTATCGTGTACAACGACCCAGGATATATGTCTAGTAATAGCTGCAGCGTGCATGCTTACAGCCTGATTGAGGCTTGGAAGGCTGCCATCGCGGTAAGGTTAGAACCGTCCATCTATAGATTAAGCGCCGGATTTGGTTAGATTGTTGCTCTTTCGAGCGCTGCCAAGATGTGGTGTTGGCGGCGTATGCCGCCCATTCGCTCCACAAAGTTTTCGCCCCTAACTATGTGTATCTACACCAACGTTGATTCGGTCTCTTGCTGCCGTGTCGCGCGGGGCAAGAATGCAGCTTATGGTACACGACATATGGCCTAGATGTCAACCGCAGCCTACAATTGTAATAGAGATGGACAGTGACATAGAACGAGGCTACCTAGGTAAATGCGCTTGCCGTCCCTCCTATGCGCATTAGTTTCTGCGAACAAACCTCGGTGTATTCCTACACCACCAAACCAACCCAAACCCCAAAGTAAAGTTCCATATCGCAGCGCTTCTTGATCAAGTCTGTCTCGTTCTCCTACACGTGTGTCTAAGGATCACTTTCAACTTCGTCTCCTTCGCTTCCAACGCTTCCAACGCGGCTTCCAGAGAATGTTCAGTCACCCTCTTTACTCTCATCAACCTTCCTAACCCTTGCATCAAAAGTATCTCCTATCTTTTCCATATTCTCTCTTCTTCCATCTTCAGCCATTACACGTCTCTCTTCCTTTGCGCTTCTACATCCGGCCGAACATGCGAAACAGTATCATCTCTTGCAGTGGCCGTGGCTGGCACCCCCATGTTCCCATCATCATTTGTTCCACCCACTGCAGTATGCGGTAATTCTCCCGATGTGTCATCAGATCTAAGCTCATGTGCCACATTTCCGTATGATTGCGAAGAATGAGGCTCTTGCGTTTGACTATCGCCAGACGTCTCTTGACGCCCACCGGATGTGGGGTTGTCGGAGAGTATCTTCTCATCTTCTTGTCCCGTTTGCCCTTCGGACGCATTGACATTCTTGCTTGTAGTAGACTTTGCGCGTCTTCTCCGACGCCAGAAGGACCAGCCACCGATTATAAACACGAGGATGAGGACGCCTCCTACCGCGATGCCGGCGATAGCGCCACTTGAGGTATGTTTATGGCGTGAGGTTCGGTTAGGACGAGGTAGCTTGGACGCGATCGGGTCTCCAGTCCTCGTTGAAGATGGCAAGTTTAGTGACTTCGACTTTGCCAATGCTAAACTCCGTGAGTATGAAAAGTCCGTACGAGTCGAGTACAGAATCGCCATTCCATCGTCTTCGCCTCGGAGGGAGATGTAAAGAAGACCTGATGTCATGGTGGAGCTTGTTTGTAGCGGTGGGGCTTCTGGAAACTGAAGTTCAAGTGTTGGTGTTATGTGTACTGTGATTGTTGCTAGCGGGATATCGTCTTTACGCAGAGTCGTCGTATACGGATCATCGGTCTTGGTGTTGATCCGTTCGGTTTGCCATGTCGATGTAGACATGTTCAACGTTTCTGTAGTATTCTTGCTATTGTGTTACTAGGACGCTGCTTAAACAAAAGACTTCAACGAATATGCGACTGTACGAAGTGAAGACTCGAGATAGGGACTTAGACAGTAACTTAGCGGGGATCTACTTTGAGATATGACAACCTAGGATATACGCCCTGATTAGGGCCTCAGCGTGTCTGTATACAGCCTGAACGAGGCTTGGATTGTTCTATTGTGGCGTGGTTGAACTCATCGGTCTACACCCAGGCCCAGGGGTAGATTTGAACGCCGAATCTAGCTAAGCCGTTACTCTTCTGAGCGCTGGTAATATGCGACACTGACTGCGCATGCCGTTCATTTGCTGGACAGTCTCGTCCTCCAACTCTATGTAATTGAACCAACGGGTAAGAAGGCAGCTTGCTGTACACAACACATGGCCAAGATGTCAGCCACGCTGTACTGCTACAACAAAGAAGGGCTGTAAAGTAAGAGCAGGCGGCATGCTGCGCCAGATGCGCTTGTTGCTCTTCGTTGATTCACGGCAACTGTTTGTAGAGGTCACCGTGCCGCAGCCAGTTCCATGATCGCGTTGTCCAATCAGCTTTTTCTGGCCCCCAATCCTCCACATGCGGTTGCGCACTGATTCGATGTACTTCAGGCCGAACATGCGGCCAACATCACACATGACGTTCGATCCTTTGGGCCTAGCTGGTGTCGTATGTGCCTCACAACCTTGCGTTCCGATTGTTCGAACTAGAAATTACATTAGGATAGTGTGTACTGAAAACAAATGCCATCGAAACCGCAAAGGCGTTATGGACTCTTCCCGCTTGCTTGCATAGAAAGCGTCTCCCTCTTCTTCCGTATCCTCTCCTCTTCCATGTCCAACCACTCCATTTCACGTCGTCTTTGCGCCTCTACATTCGGTGACACTGCAGCACTGCTTTCCCCAGCTTCCCGACCAGCGTCGGTCTGGTTTACTGGTGTTTGAGGCCTGTGAGTGTGTACTGCCGAACTTTGTTCCTCTTCGCCGTGTGATAATTCCGCCGGCCTACCATCAGGGTGAAGTTCATAAGCTGGCTCGTACTGATATGCTGCTTTACTCGTAGAATGCCGTGCTGCATGCGTCGCATATTTGGCGGACTGATGTGGATCCAACTCTTGCGCTGGCATGACTATATCGCCTGGCATTTCCTGATGATGATCTGGAATGTACGGTTGTTTCTCCGGCGGAGAGTACCGTGGAGGTGGCCCTCCGGTGCTTACGACCCTTGTGCCCTGTTCATCGTCGCCCGAACCTGAAGTTCTTGCTCTCGAACGCTGCCTTCGTCTCCAGAAAAACCATCCTCCGATTATGAGAGCGAGGACAAGTATACCGCCTATAGCTATTCCGGCAATCGCACCGCCTCCTAAACTTGGGCTGCTGCTTTCATTGGCGGATGCGGTTGCGGTAGATTGATTGCTACCTCCAGACTGTATTTCACTCGCGCTGCTTCCCGAATTTGAGCTGCCTGAGCTAGTGATCGAGGCATCGGCCGCTGAAGCTGTCTGATCCTCGCCACTACTTGTGGGAGGTGGTCTTACTGCTGGCGGTATCAAAGTCTTCGTCTCAATGCTCGACTCTGACTGCGTAATCGGAGCGCGGCGATACCATATCTGGTCCGGCCAAAGTGTGAGCCAGAATTCACAACCAGAGACATCGTAGTATTCCGAAGCAGTTATAGTGTGATCATCTGGGGCCACGACACCGCTCATCGTGGGGAGGATTGTGATCGTCAAGGTTGTGGACCAGTCATCTTCAGATATTTCCGTGAGGGATACGGCAGTTGTGTAGGCAGTCCTGTAGGAGGCCCATGATGCGACATACCAGGGGTATGTGTTGAGCCCGACTGGTGCGTCGGACATTGCGGGATATTGCGTGCGACGGCAAAGAGCTGGGTAGATGTAAGTAGCCTTGATGTAGGATATCGAAGCACAACCTCGTACAAGTGTCAAGGTAGAGGGGCAGATAGACCCGTGTTCAGCAGGACTGCGCAGCATGTATACATCATCGCAGACGGGCGGGGTACCTCCACCCACTGCTGCACATCGCCACGAGCATGCCTTCTATGCGACAGGTCAAAGATACAAAGGTACCCACCTATCTACACGTAGAAAGTCTTGCATCGGCCCTTCCACACAGGTCTTGTGACGTTCCGTCGAATCAAACGCAGAGATGGGGTTTGCGGCACAGTCAAGCGAGCAAGGCTGTGCATGAAGGACCAACTTCTCATTCGACGAGGATTTCTTGTATACCGGTACAATCAGGGTATTCTCGTCATTCCAATGCATGTGGTATAGTGATGGGTATAGAGGTCGCAGTTTGGGTCGCAGGAACGTGTTGGTTGCTTTTGACCCGATACGACGCTTCGGCAGGCGGTAACATTTGGGATGTTCCGATCTTTGACATTGAGAAAGACATCTGTATAATTTGGCTTTACGCTCGAGTTTTTTCCGAGATCGGGAAAGTAAAGGTTTTGCTGTCTCTGTACCATCAACTCTTCGCACTTCCTTGCGCGGCAAGCAATTCTCGCCTCTTCCGCATCCTTTCCTCTTCCATCTCCAGCCATTCCATCTCTCTTCTCCGTTGCGCCTCGACGTTCGACGCAGGTATATTGTTCGTCGTTTCCGTCATCTCAGCAGGAGGTCGTTGCGGAACATCATGGGGCGCTGGCGCTGTGTATTCGTCGGAACCATTCAACAACTCGGCTGGCTCAGACTCAGTCTCAAGCTCATGAGATCCGCCCATCGCGTGTTTGAAGTACTTTGTCTGATCCAGCTCTTGCATTTGCGCTTGACGGTTCCCTGGCATCTCTTGTGGTCTCTCTTGTGTATGAAGTTCTGCTATGCCTCCGTCTATGCCTCCGTCTATTCCGATGTGCGCACTATCCTCAGTGCTCGTGGGTCTCCTTCTTGTGCGTTTCCTTCGCCGCCAGAAGAACCATCCCCCGACCAGAGCGATAATCAGGACACTCGCGATAGCTATCCCAGCTATTGCACCGCCTCCTAGCTCTGAACTACCGCTGCCGTTGTCCTGTGATGCCGCTGTCGGCTCATTGCCGTCCGATGACTGTGATGTTGATGCGCTGTCACTACTCTCCGTGGTCGAGGCCAGCGATTCTAAGCCAGCGATCCTGGGGCTGGCGATCCTGTGGTTAAACTGGGAGGGATCTCAGAGTCTATCTGTGAAGAAGACGTCACTCCGTCAGATGGTAGAATAACGGATTCAGCCGTGGGCAAGCGACGCGTTACGGTAGTTAATGCTGGAACAACTTCGACGAAGGTGCCGGTATCCGTCGATGGAAGTAACACTGATTGAGGAGTTGGAGTGCGAACAGTC